ACTACTTATTTTTGTCCAGCTTTAACATCGGTATCGATATCGGTTATCGGCTACATGAGTTTGAAAATATCGGCATATTGGATATCGGCCAAAATCCCAATATCGTGCATCCCTAGATTAAACCAAACAGACTGAAAAAAAAAAAAATGTAAACGTAGCGAGAGAAATATCAGCTGTGCTGCTGCCATCAACACCTTTGTTTCTAGATGTTGGAGATAAATTGTCAAAGTGCGACAGGGGCTTAACATTCAGCAGACCAATAGAAATGCAACTTTGTTCCTCACTCCAGAGGTTGAGAGAATGTGATTTGGAAAATGAAATTCAAAAAGACATTATAAAAAAAATTTATTACAACAAAAAAGAAAAAAAAAGTAAAACAATAAGTTTCTCTCCAAACCTTTTCTGATTAAGAACTGTTTCATGGTTTTCTCTCTGGATTGTATTTTTCTTAAGTAAAGAAGCACTTTAATGCAGTTTAACCACAGTTGTTGGATGTTTCCATCACTGGGATGAATTTGTTACAAATTAATATTTCTTTTTTTAAAGACTACAACACTACGCACCCATTTAGAAAACTTATTTAATTAGAAACTATTTCCTTGCACGTCTGCAGAAGGGATTTATGGATATTTATCCATCCTTCTACTTCCTGGAGCTTTTCCAGCACTGGGATTGGGAGGAAAGCAGAGGTTTTCTAACCTCCCCTTCCCATCATTCTCCCCTGGAGCTCTTCTGTAGGACACTTGGGCTTTCCGAAGCCAGCTGGAGATATAATCTTTCCCCCATAACTTGTTCCGACCCTCGGCTTCCTCCCTCTGGAACATGTCTGAAAACGGCTCCGCTGGGATAAATCTGGAAGACGTCCCAATAAGGAAGAAGAGCCGTTTTAATCTGTGGGTTTATCAGCTTCTCTGCAGCCCATTAAAAACCAATTTTATTGTTTTATTTCTGGTTTTGTTCTCAGACTAACTCTAACCTCGTCTTTGATTGTAGTTCTAGACGGATAAAAATGGTTTGTGACCTTTCACCTCTCGGTTAAAGAAAAGCAATAAGTGAGGCTGTGAAGCCCGTTGATTGATTCCCTTCCAGCAGCAGAAAGCAGTCCATGTGGAGATCACAGTACCTGCTACAGTAACAGTGTTGACAGCTTCCCCTTTCTGAGACGTCTGACTGTTTGCCAGAATCTTACAGGAGCCGATGGAAAGTTATGTTCCCAGCTTCTCAGGATGCTGGGGAACATACCGCCGGAGAAGCAGCTCCTTTTGCATCACAGGATCTACCGACACCCTTTATGTCCCAACTCCTTATCGCCGTTTTAGCGATAAAAGGTCCCTTTTGGATGCAATGTTCCCATTTTTGAGTTTTTCAGACTTTGTTAAACAATCTGATTTAGATGCAGAACTGTTAAAAAACCTGTTCAGATCATTGTGTCCCACTTAAGAAAATGTCCATCTGTACCACAACGTTTAGATGTGTCCTGAGTCCATCCATCCATTCTCTGGCTTATCCTAAGCGAGTGCCCTGGTGCCTACTTCCAGCTGTCTACAGTCACACACTCACACATAACGAGAATTTAGACAAGCCAGTTATTGAAACAGTCATGTT